CAGTTAAAAATTGAAGTAACTCTTTCACTTATATTAAGAGAAATAGCAAACTAACATTTTCAAATGAAAGCTCTCCTTTTCAATGCCCCACTGATAACAGTTCTCCAGATAAGATAACAATAATACCAACTAATATTCACTCATTCATTCATTGATTAGCTCGTTCTGATTTCACAACTTCAGTTTGCGTATCCATTCGGTGGTGGCCGCTAGTGATTAGAATTTATTTTATAGAACATACGTAGAATTTGATAGACAATTTCAAAATAGGCAACTGTAATCCGTACAAAAGTAACCACAAAAGCAACAACAACGACAGCATGTCGGATGAAACTGATTTTGATATTTTCAAGAAGTCAAAATCTAAAGACAAACATGACAAAGCAGACGCTGCAAAATACGTTGGGCAACAATCCCATGACATAATTGCACCACCAGCAAATCAGTTAGTTGTTTCACGCTCCACCGACGAGGAGTTCTACTCTAACAATAATCCCTATGTGGGTATTGCTGTTATACTCAATCACAAATACGTCAAGGGTCAGAAGGATCGAATGGGTACGGAGAAGGATCGCGATACCATAGCAGATGTTCTATGGTCATATGGCTTCGACGTGCGAGTCTTTAATGATCTGACATTCGAGAAGGTGGACGGACAGCTGAAGGCGAGTAAGTATGAGATTTACTTCTTTTTTTTTTTAATTTGACGGATACTGTCCATTTGTATTTTCATCCATAAAATCCCCACTGCGTAGACTTTTCAATTTCTAAAAGCATGCAATTATATCTGAATTACCCATACACAACTTTTTGCAATAAGCTACATATTACTAACTTGTTGCTAAATATGGGCAAAGCAATATTTTTCTTGCCTTTAGTTATAAACAACATACATACATATGTATTTATATTACTCACAGGCATACCAGATACAAATTACTATAGAAATATACTAATATGTATGTATATGACCAGAAACTCTGAAAAATATGCACTGTCGTTATCGCCTGTGGGAATCACTATCGGTATACATATGTATATATTTAAGTATGTTCATATCGTTACCTTAATATAAAAAGGCCGTAACTCATTTTTGTTTCGAAATTTAGTGTTGTACAAAAGTCGGCAGATTATTTACTGAGGGCCTAAAAGATCAATAAATTAGTTTCAGTGTTCATTAAATACCATTGCTTTGAAGAAAATTGCAATTTATATTTATGGCCTTATTCCTAAAAAATGGGGTAGTTTTAAAAATCTTTATAAATTTACTTTTTTATAAAATTTTTCGATTCATAAAGCATTTAAAGTCTTCTTTATTATTTATGAGTTTAGGTGTTACTTTTTATAAAGTTTTGTAGCTACGCGAAAAGAACCAAACATTTTAGATATGACCTTCCTATATTAAGGTGACGATATGCACAATTAACTTACGCGTACGGAAGTAAGTGTATGTACATTATGGTGGTCCAAAATAAGAAAACTCGGAATTTTAATGCTCTCACCCCATAGGATTGTTCCATATCGAAAAAATATACCCTTTTTTTATTTTGAAATCAAAAAATATTTAGAGGTCGCTCAAAGCGCTTAAAATTTTACATGCACTTAATGTGGGGGAAAAAAAATCGTAGAAATGGATGGAAATCTTGAAAACTAATATTTTTCGATTGGAAAACTCTGGTTGTCTTCAGGAGACTTCCAATAACAGTGTCACATTGTCAGTGTGGTTAGAATTCAGAAAAGTTTTAAAATCAATGGAAAAGCATATTCCTCGCAGTTACCAAAAATTTCATGTTGCACACAGAAGTATTGGTTTAATAAGACCCATCAAAATTCAGATTTATCAACTTTGATAAAAGTATCTTTAAACATATGTGCTATTTTTCAAGCTAAATGCATAACTAATCTGTCAGTTGACAACCATAAAAGTTTTCGCCGCTACTTGCTGTTAAACGTACATCAAGTAGAACATATCGCACACCGTCTTCAAAAGAGGTACAACTCAAAATAGTACGTTCGTCTGAAAATGCGAAAAACTATTTCGTAGCACATGCTAATCATATGTGCAAGGGCGACTTTACCTTGGTTTAGCTTTAGCTGAAAGGTAAAGAAAAGCTCATAATCTCAAAAATGCCAAATTTTGAGTAGTAACTCTTCTGCGCTTTCGATGGCTGCATTTCTTTCTATCGTTATTAAATTCTTTACGGGCCAATCTTAAATAAAACCAAATACCTTTGACCAATTGGCGCAATGCTTCTCGGGAGAACGAAAAATGGCACTGAACATGGCACAACGCCGAAACCGATTTGTCTCTAAGCCCAAATTTACAAGGAGTAACGGAAACTCGTTCTAAAATACATCACACTCCTACCGTTTAGAAAGCATCAACAATCAAAAGAAAACTCCCATAAACTTTACCATCTAGGATTACACCTAAAAAAAGGAACAGTCCAGCGCCTTCGTCTTGGTCTGCAGGCTGTATCGGAGATACAGCCGCTATATTTAAACGTAGAATACGTGGTATGGTTAAGAGCATATCCAAGTCAAAAACGAAATCACACACTAAGAAAAAAAGGGGTTTTCCAAAATTTTACAAATTTGCATACTTCTAAGTGAAAAGAACTCAATGAGAATATAAGCGAAAGCCCTATTTTTATTTTTATTTTATACCATTGTTTTTTTCTACAGCTTACTGAGATTTAAAGATTTGAAATTTTGAACAGAAAAGATATTTATTGAAAAAAATATCGATATCAAAATCGATAAATAATCTATAATAAAATTGATAACAAAATTGATTAAAGTGTCGATAACAAAATCGATAAAAATATCGATCATTATATCCATAAGTTCCGAAAATATCGATAGAAAAATAAATAACAAAATCGATCATTATATCGATAAGTTCCGAAAGTATCGATAACAAAATCGATAAAAATATCGATAACAGAACCGATGACAAAATCGATTAAAATGTCGATAACAAAATCGATAAAAATATCGATCATTATATCGATAAGTGAAAATATCGATAGCAAAATAAATAACAAAATCGATCATTATATCGATAAGTTCTGAAAATATCGATAACAAAATCTATAAAAATATCGATAACAAAATCGTTAGCAAAATCGATAACAAAATCGATAAAAATATCGATAACAAAACCAATAAAAATATCGATAACAAAATCGATAAAAATATCGATAACAAAATCGATAATAAAATCGATAACAAAATCGATAATAAAGAGATAACAAAATCGATAAAAATATCGATCATTATATCGATAAGTTCCAAAAATATCGATAGCAAAATCAGTAACAATATCGATAAAAATTTCGATAACAAAATCGATAAAAAAAACCAACAAAATATCGATTATATCGATAAGTCCCGAGAATCCCTAAAATCCCGAAATAGTTCCGAGATTGAGTCTCTGTGCCTTTATCTATATCCTTTTCTCTACAACTACCTTTATTTTAATCTTTCTTCCTCTATCTTCATCTATACTTTTATCGGTATCCTCATCCGCATCTTTTTCTTTATATTTATCTTTGTTTTTATTTTTATGTTTATCATATTCTTCATATACATATTCCCCTTCACCTTTGCACTTATACATATAAGTAAAGTGTTTAAATTTACGTTGGTCTTCATGTTTGCCTTTATCTTTACTCAACTTTGTTTTTGTGTTTATTTTTACCTTGGCCTTTATCCTTTTCTTTATCTATGTACGTCCTCACCTTTACTTTTATTCTTGGATTGGACTTTTTCTAAATGTTGTTTCACTTCGAAAAGTCTTCGCGTATTATGCATACATGTGTTCATATATGTATGTACATATATAATATGTATGTACATATGTATGTATAGACATACATAGATTACTAAAAATAGAAACAGATCCACATTAACTGCAATCAACATATATACGTATGTATGTATTTACATATGTACACACACGCGATTAGGTTATATGTTAATATTGCTCCATCTGTTTATCAAAAGCCGAAATATGTACTCACGTACACATACATACTTTTTGCCTCCTTTCCTCACTTCCAACGCATGCACGTGTTTGCAAAACGATGACGAAGTGTTTTTGTACGGGAAATCATTTATGCCCATATATTTGAAACAAATAAACATACTTAGAAGACATCAACCAATACTTCCCATATACCAAACGAAAGGAAAACTCTTGAATTTTTGATTAAAGAAAACAAAAACAAAATCATTCGAGCGGTTTTCGAGCATTTTGGTAATGAAAAAAATTTGCAAATTTTTTCAACAATTTTTTGCCTTAAAATGCTCAATATTTGTTAAATTTATATAAAATTTGTACCCGATAATATTTCTACTGCTCCAAAGAACCTATATCCCGAAAATGAAAGTTATATATGCCAACAATAAGTTGCTAGAGCACTTTAAAGGCTCAAAATTGACCCCAAAATAAGGCAATGTTTACCGTTGTTTTTACGACAGAAACCGAATTGGTTATTTACAAAAATGAATCTGTCGACAGGCTTGGAATTTTATCTTTGAAACGCCACACTTTTCTTTGAAATCGCTTTATTAGTTCTCGTGCAATAAGCGTTTTTTGTGAAGCTCTAAAAATTACAACTACAACATTTGAACATAGCCCCC